TGGCTGGCCGAGCCCAGCCGGCAGCCACGACGCGGATCGGGGCGCGGAAGAGGATTCGCGCTTGTGTCGCGTGCCTGCCCTCTCTGGACTGTGACCCTGCACCCCTCCCCAGCCTGCCTGGCCTGCCCACCCCACCTGAGCCTCGAACTTCTCTGTGGGCAGAGGGCCCGGAAGGAGGCGGCAGAGACCTGGGCCCTGAGGCACCTGGATTCCTGCATCTGCATCTGAGTATTTGCCAAAGACGTCGGGGCGGGCCAGGGGTGCAAGGAGGAAGCCCCAGTGCTGATGGGTCTCCACCCCTGGCCTTCCTCACACTGACACTTGGTCCCTTCGCGGGGTAGGAGCACAGCGCTCCTCCCCCTCCATGGAGGGACAGCCCCACGGAGGCCACTACCGTCCATGTCCACGGCCACCTGTGGGACAGTTGGAGAGCTGGTGGAGGCCTGACCGCCTGCGGGCGCGGCCCGAGCGTCATGCCCAGGGTTTTTATACCTGACTGTGTAACTTTTTTATTTTCTTCTACTCTGATTACGATTATTCAGGAATACTATCTCCGATAGTTTAGGGTTAGCTGATTTATAACTTCTTACCGTGTTGATTTCTTTAATGGTTTGATTTTTCCACCCGAGGGGAGGGAGCAAGTGGGGAGAGAGGACACCCGCCCGTTGCTGTCAGGACAGGCCACTGTGCGACAGGAGGGCGGCTCCCAGGTGAGGCGCCAGGCCTTCGCTCAGACGCACTGACGAGGGGAGAGTGCAGCTGGCGTGGGGGACCCTGCAGGCCTGGCACCCATGGCCCAAGCCTGGAGAGGAGGCAGGGCGGAGGAGTACGACACGTGGGGGGAGTGTCCTCAGGAAGCTACAGCATTTGCTGACCCGGTGTGAGGCCCGGGCCTTGGGCCCCTGGGGGTCTGGCGAAGCTTTAGTAGGAACAGGACCAGAAATGGCGGTCCCTACCTTCCTCAGTGATGTGCAGTTTGGGGCTTCCCTTCTTCCTTCGTCCTGGCGGGAAGGAGGCCTCTTCACCCCACGTAACGGGTTCTGCAAGCCCGGCCGCGTCAGACCCTCCTGCTGGTGCTCTCGGACAAGCGCCTCATTAGGTCCCTCCTGCTGTCCACTCTCCTTGCTCCTGAAGGGGACGCAGGCCTTACGGTTAGCTGCCCAGGCAGCGGCAGGGGACGTGCCCATCAGGAGTCGGAGGAGGGGGCAGGTACCCACCAGCGTCCTGCCAGACTTCCTGGGCTGAGAGGGAGGGAAAGGCCGTCTGTCCGGTCCCAGGACCCTCCTCGCCCCTGGAACTCTGACGTCAGCAGCAGGGTATGCAGGGCCACATCCTGGGCCATCCCAAGGAGAAGGAATACAGAAAGCCCGAGAGGCGAGACGGGCTCGTTACAGCAGCCTGGGTCGTGGTGGGTGCGTGAGATGATTGGCAGGCATGGTACTCGGCTGCAGGGGGCGCCCCTCCATAGCCAGCTGGGGTCTAGGTCAACGCTTTGCAGTTGGAGAACAAAGCCATGGATCCGTGGGGCGGGGCCGGGAACCTCGCTGGCATGGAGTGCGCCTCGCAGGGCCTCCAGTGGCTGTCTCTCTCCTGCCACCATCTGGCTTGTTTCCTTGGTCTCTTCTTGGGGCCAGGCCTCTCCTCCAGCCTCCACCTGCCTGCCTCTTCCAAGGGCTGATGGGTAGCTTCCATCCACCTTGAGAAACGTTCAGATCGGGACCAGGAGAGGAGGATTTGGTATGTCCAGGGTCCTGCGTTGGGGGAGTGGAAGTGGGGGTGGAGGTCTCAGTGAGCCGGGCAGAGCGAAGACCTTTCCCTGGCATAGGAGGGGTGGTGCTAGGACACGCTGGGAGGTGGGTGTGGGCTGGGGGATGGGCATGCGCCCATTAGAACCAAGGTGCCCTCATCTCGTCCTCTGGCCGTCTTCTTGGTAAGGGGCTCCAGCTGCCTCCTCTGGGACCCCAAAACGCAGAGCAGAAACGTTGTTCTGGAAGACCCCCAGCACACGCGTGTCCGCGCCGCACGGTGGACCTGATGCATGGGGAGCCGTCGCCGTGGGCGGGCGGGCGGGTTTGTTTATGCCTATCAATGCAATTTTTAGTTTTTGTGAGTATCGACAGCAAAAGCCTCGTGCATGGGGGCGTGCAGCCGCTCCCTGGCGATCTGCTATTTCCAGATGGCTTCAGGGTGTCCTTTGGCCCTGGAGCCTTTCCCAGAGTCCCCTGCCTCTGCCAGCCCCCAGCTCATCCGTTTGCAGAGCCTTGTCCGCAGGTCCCCAACTGCCTTCCTGCCCCACCCTGTGCCTGGCTGTTTAGTCACGTGGCCAAGTCTACACGGGTGAAAGTGTCCCTGCACAGGGTGGCGGTCTCCGGCCTCTCGCCCATGCTGCAGAACGGTCCCCACAGCCCTGGGAGGCTACGCTGTCCGAGGCAGTGCAGGTCAGCCCAGCTGTGATCTCACGGGGGCAGAATTGCACTGAGCGACCTCCTTCACCCTCAGCTTCCCTGGCCACGTCGGTGTGAGTTCAGTTACGTCTGAAGCGAGGTTCACAGCCTTGACTCGGCCCCCTTGTGTTTGCACGACTTCAGGGGCTGTCGGTTTAGACCGGCCTTCCTCGGGCCATCTCAGAAGGGCAAGTGTTCGGACAGGGTCGGGAACCACCCAAAGGCAGGCGGCGGGGAGCAGGTGTCCGGGAAGTGGCCC